CTCTTCTCTGTGTGCTCTCTTTCTCTCTTTTCTCTGCCCCCTTTTCCCTATGGCAAGTCTCCTGGCCTCAATCCTTGGGGCCAGTGAACTCACTCAAGAGCAGCTTCCCAATAAACCTGCCTTTAATATAATCTAATCTGACTTGAATTGGTTCATTTCACCAGCTGTGAAGAAATAACCTATCACTTACCTGAACACGATTACTCAAAACATTTTAAAATAGCTCCCATGCTCAGAGTAGAATATTTACCATAGTAACTGTCTTATTAGGTATCATGATTTCTGATTTTGGAAATTAATTTTTCCTGTACTGGGGCTCTAGCATGCCAGACAAGCATTTTACCACTGAGTTAACATCCATCCTCTGACTTTGGAAACCTTAATAAAATACCTTCATTGAGTTATATGGCAAATAACACAAGCACAAAAATCAAATAATACCAATTTGGCTCAAATATAAAGGATGAATATGAATTAATAAAACTGATTTCATAGAATGATGCAAACTAGAAAGTGTTAGCTTACAGGTAATTCCACTATGCTCCTCCCAGGGACCTAGCAATGGCTTATGTCATCACCTGCTACCACTACCTGCCACCACCAGGTGCAGGTGGCATATAAAGAGATTGCTCTGCTTGCCACCCCAGCTCTCTCTCTGTTCCCAAGTGTCGTCCCCCTTTCTGCTTTTCTCTGTGTCCATCCTCTTTTCTGCCCTTATGGCTCTGCCCCTGTCTGGTCTATCTATCTGTCTGGTTGTCTGCCTCCACCCCTTTCCCCCTTTCTCCAGATCCTCATGCCCCTACCTTTTTCTAAATAAACTCCCTTATACCAGATCTGCTGCATGGAGTAATTTCTCAGGGGGATATCTTGGCAGGGGCCCACCAGGTACTCCCTTGCCCCATTATATTTCATAACAGAAAGGCATTTTTAAAGGAAATTTCAAACTTGCTTTAAGCAGTGGCAACAACATTAAGATAAATATTCTTTGGAATGTTACCACTCTGAAAAGCACATGCTTTGGGATATACAGCTCTAATACATCAGCTGTTTTTCTTTCTTTTTTTCCATTTGGTAACCAACGGGAGGAGTTGGTACATGTGGTAGATGGCCATACATCAACTTTTCATAAACAATCACATTAATTTACAATATTTTATACATATATAAGAAAAATGTAACTACTTAGGCATATTAACATGTTGAGGGTAGAAATTTGGATGTTTCCCATTTGATATCATTAATGATTTTATCATTATCTTATCTCAAACACAAAGATAAAGATGTGGTTTCAACCATCCCAATGCCTTCACGGAGCATTTTGTAGCAGAAATGAAGGATGGGCCTGCACCTTAACTGTTCTACACATACAATGATTTCCTCATGTGTTCTCTAGTTCAAGAAGAGGTACTGAGCAAACAAGACACTGGTGTCAGTCACTATTACCTGTTCCAGCTCATAGGCCTTGGCTTTATCCTCATCACGGTCAGCATTCTTGCGGTAGGCCATGCCCAGGCCCCAAACAGCCAATATGCTATAGATGTTGTCCCGTACCCAAGCATCTTTCTGGTCATGGCTGGCTGATAACAGGCCAGTGACTGGGTTCTATTAGAAAAAAAAACAACAAAAATGCTTAGCATCATCCTTCATAAAGCTTTCACCTTCAGACCAGACCACACTGTTATAATGGATAAAAGAGAAAAAACACCAAACAAAAAAAGGTCTACTAGGCTTTACTGGTCTGTGTCGTACAAGCTTCAGGTCTGTTTGGTCTTCATGTTGGTAAAGCACTGAACATGGGAGTAAGACAGCTAGATTCAGGGCCCTGATCCACCTCCTAACTCTATATGTGCAGAAAAGCTACCAAGCCTGTCTGGACTTCAGCTACCATGTCTGCAATCCAGATACTTCACACATCTAAACAGAAGATGCTACACAGAAGGGTGTATGGGAACCTTCATTAGCTATGATACCACTGATCTGTTCTACAAAGGCAGTAGAATCAACAAAATGTTTGGACCTTCCCATGAAAAGTTATACACAAATGTTTGTAGCAGCATTATTCATAAATGAGAAAAAGTAGAAACAAGTATCTATCAACTAATGAATGAATAAAACATTTCCCTTTCTTTTTTAAAAATTATTTTATTTTATGTATATGAATATTTCACCTGCATATATGCATATACATGTGTGTATGTATATGCCTAGTACCCACAGAGGTCAGAAGAGAATGCTAAATTCCCTAGAACTGGAGTTTCATGTGGTTTTAAATAATATGGGTGCTAGGAACAGAACCTGGGTCCTCTACAACAACAAGGGCTCTTAACCACTAAGACATCTCTCCAGCCTGGTTTTTTCTTTTCTTTATAAAAAAGAAAGAGATTAAAGTTAATTGTGGCAAAAGATGTACAAACTCATGATTACACAAAAAAACTAATTGTATAGTAACTAAATTATATGTCAATGAAGCTGTTTATATTTGGGGGTACTAGGGATTCAACCCAGAGCATCATACATATTAGGCAAACATTCTATCACTGAGCTATACGCCCAGCCCAATTATTGTATTATTATTCTTTAATATTTTTTTATACTACAGTCGTTATCCCCCTCCTGGCTCACCCTCTGACAGTTCCTCATTCCATTCCTTCTCTGCTGTCTCCAAGAGGATGTCCCCCCCAAAACACACTCCCACTGGACCTCACCACTCCCTGGGGCCTCAAGTCTCTCGAGGGTTAGGTGCTTCTCTCACTGGACCAGACCAGACAGTCCTCCCAGTCCAGTATTTTTAAAGCCAACCCTAACAAAAAAAAATACTCTGAGCCCACAAATAAAGTGGTTAAGAAATGAGTCACATGAAGTCAGCTGACTTCTGAAAATATACAAAGAAATATGTATGTAATAAAATAAACTTTTACAATTAGAACCTTGCCATCTTAAAAAAACATGCCTTACTTATCAGTTTAATATATTACCTGTGCTCCTACCCACTGGTTTTTGTGAGCCACCCAAATGGATCTATGTCTTTAGAGGTCTGGGGTCTTCGCTTGATATTGGTATGTGTCTTAGAGTTTCTATTGTTTCAACAAAAATACCATGACAAGTTGGGAAAGGAAGGTTTATTCAAGTTACAGATCCAGATCATAGTCCATCAACAGAGGAAGTCAGGACAGGAACTCAAGCAGGGCTGGAACCTGGAGACAGGACCTGATGCAGAGGCAATGGAGCGGTGCTGCTTACTGGCTTGCTCAGCCTGCTTTCTTATAAAATCCAGGACCACCCACAATAGGCTGGGCCCTCCACCACTGGTCACTAATTGAGAAAATGCCTTACAGCATGGAGGCATTTCCTCAGCCGAGGCTGCTTACTCTGTGATGACTATAGCTTGTGTCAAGATGACACACAAAACCAGCCAGTACAGAAGAGCAAGTTAAACGAAATGGACAGCTCAGAAGTACACTGCCAGGCATGCACATGAGGCCTGTGGTTCAACTGAAGCATAAAACAAAACAACAATAACTATTATTCAGAGGATACTAGATCATTTATAGGAAGGTTCATGAAAAATTCTAATGGGTAATTCTGAAAGGATACTGCCTAAGTATTAGGTAAAAAAAAAAATATACACACACACACACACACACACACACACACACACACATATTAGCAGTGCTTCACAAGGTCCCACCCAAGAAATTAAATATTTGGCTTTCTCTTTTAACCAATTTATACCTTATATGAAAATATCTAAAACTTGACAGATATTACCTGCAAGAGCAACAACATTCAATGCACTAAAATAGTTCTCCAGCTGACAACTCTAATGGCTTTAAAGCCAATGATAGCAAAAGTCTTCAAGGGCTGAAAGTGCAAGTATTATTTCAATAGTGGATTGCTGATTCTAAAAGAAACACTATGTTTTAGAATCACCAACATTATATGCAGAGCATATGCAGTTTTATCTGTTCTGAGGCCTGTTGGGTTAGCTTGTGACAGGAAGGCATCAGATCCTCTAAGTAAGAAATGAACCTCTTCCTGACATGCCCACTAACCTTGAGTCTAAGGAGTGACAGGTTACACAGTGCCAAGTGTGGTTTAGATTATAAAATGTCACTGTCCTGTTGACTGAATGTCATGTCTTTTATTCTGCTTCGTTAATCCCCACCTTAGTTCATCTTCATCTAAGGCTAGATTGTCTGTGCCACTCGTTCAAATACAGAGAAACAGGCTGGATGTTTTAGGAGATCCTCACAGTCAAAACTAGACATAGAATCCATGGAAAATTGGAGTATTACTGCACTCAACAAAAATAATACTTTCTGATTTGCTCACTGCTTTAAATCTATAAAACATGATGCATTATGCAATGACATTTGGGAATTTCCATTCAGTGTGTCTCATAAAAACCTGAGATGTTCATAGACTTGCAGATACTCTGTTGTATCAGGTTCTGTTGTCCTTTCTAATAAAGATGTTCTAGAAGTTTTGTCTTTACATTCTTTCCCTACTTGGGGATGGTCTGTCCCATATCATCTGCATTTCCACCATTGAGTCCTGTGAGCAACCCAAAATGGGTCCATTTCTTTAGAGGTATGGGCTCTCTGTATGACACTGGTTTGAAATGTGGGGGTATTTGACATCAATCTGCCAGACACAGACAAATACATATTACAAGGAGACGGGGGATAGATTTGTCTAGGTCAGGCTTATGTTTGTGATATGATCATTTTAACTATATACTGCCTTTCTGTTAAATTTGGGTGTTGGGGAGGTGGGGAGGACCTGGGAGGAGTTGGGGGAGAGGAAAGAAAAATCAGAATATATTGTATGAAAAATCTAATGTCAAATAAAAACTACTTTATTATAACTAAACCCTCATGTAACAACATAGAAATATGTAGCTAGATTCATATGGCTGTATTAGCTTTTCCCCTTCTCTTTTTGGTGTGCTGCTTACTGCTCACGTTACCAATTGGATAAACCTAGTCCAATCCTGTCAACCCCAGGTAACAACCCTGTATTATTTTTCCTTTTTTCTTTGTGCTATTAAACTGGCTATCATACATTAAGTACATATATAAAGTGATACATATACATATGCTTTGGTATAAATTCTTGCTCACACAGAGACTTTTTTGAGGGTGTCAGTTTTTAATGACAGGAATCATAGGATCACTACTCACCCGGCATTGCTCATTCAACAGAACCTGATGAGATTCCCCTGTGATCATCTGAAATAACTCAAACTTAACAGCTTGGAGCTGCAAACTATTTTATGGTAGATACACTCAATAATGCATCCAGGGATCTACCCTTATGATATCCATTTACAGTTCAGGGATTTTATTACCACTACAAAAGTACAGCAGTAAAGTCCTTATAGCAAATGTTTTCAACAGTGGGTTTTTTGTCTTTTAAACAGTAATGAATTCTATTCAAATGGGCTTCATCATCACAATTTGATGACATCCTAGAGGTCTCCACCCCAGTTCCCTTTCAATGGGGATAATGGTTTCAGCATATACACAAAACAACAATAAAAGTGAAGGGACTTGAAGGAGAAGCCCTCAATAATCTAAAGACAGCCACACAACAGTGCTTCCTAAAGATTTCATGCATGAATTTGCAGGTTACTTTCCAGATCAAATCTATAATCAGGATCCACTGTTGTGGCATAATTTACCTTGAATCAGAATCACCTTAGTAAAGACTCTACCTACTGATGTACATAGATACTTTGGGGTTAAGCCTTCATTTAACATTTAGAGAGTAAAAAGCACAAATCTTATAATATTGGCTTTTGCTTGATGTTCAGAATGATTGTTGTTTCAACATCAATTTAATTCACAGCTAGCATGCTAACATCTTAAAAACAACCGATTTCAGCTCTGTATCTCAACATTCAGTATAATACTTGCAAGTAACTCTAAAAAGAATAATGGCTATCGACAGGTTCTATGTATACGTATTTTTAAAATAAATAATCCTCCTGTAAATAACTTTTTAACATTTTCAACTTCATGTCAGTTTAGTGGGTGTAAAGTGGTACTGCATTGCCACTCTTAGGTTTATTTTACTTCTCTGTCTTTTGGGAGGAGCAACGGATTTGCTCTTCCATTAGCTAACTTCCCATTACTTTTCAATGAGGCATTATTAACTTTCCATGTATCAAGTTAAGAGCACAGGATCTAGACAGTCTGTTCAAAAACTCTACCACAAAATAGATGTGACCTTGAATAAATGAGTTCAGTATCTCTCTGTAAACTGGGGAATATACCAACACCTCTACCTCATGAGGCTTTGTGTGAGGATTAAATAAATTAATATGTATTAAGCACTTTGGAATAGTTCTGGTATATGTGAAAAATAACTGTTTAATGTTAATGAAAGAAACAGCATTTATTCATATTACTTCTTTTTTATGTATAATTTGAGGTAATAGATAAAGATACATTGCCAGGAGAAGAATTCACAGTGAGTACCATGTAACCACTATTGTAATTTATAAAGAAAGTCTGGGGGTACTCCCTTTTATCATTACTGACAATACTACTAACTTTAAAAAAATGAGCCAGAGTCTCACTTTGTAGCTGGAGATGGTC